AAATTATTTCAAATATCAAACAGCTTCGTTATCACATTTATTTGTAGTTCCTTTTTTTGAAACATCAAGAAACTCTTCCATTATCTCCAGTATAATTTTCCTATCATTTCTAATCTCAGATAGAAGTTTCTACACTTTGAAAAAATACAGATACGCTTTTTTTGTACAACTTCAAAGAATCAATCAAGTTTTGAACGAGAGAAAGGGAACATGCCGCAGGAATTTTAAAAATTTATCAAATCACAACGAAGAAGGAAGAATATAATATTACAATGAAGAATTGTCAATCTGAACAAAGACACGTGAAGAATCTCATGTTTCTTCTTCTTTTTGTTGCGCAGAAGAGAGGCCGAAGACGACGAATCTCCACCGGAAGCCGAGCAGCGCGTGGCGCAAGGAGCGCAGAAGGGATCCAATCCAGAGTGAAGCGCTGGACATGACCGCTGCCAGGGTTCATCATCACCATCACAGCAGACCCAGTGTGATTGTACCTACCACGCCGCAACCTGGTAAACTTCTGATTGCTGGTTTCTGATGTTCCACGCGAATTCGTTAGGCGAGTGGCTTGTTCTCCTGTTGTTCTTGGCCTCGCGGGGGGCAACCAAGAACGGCTATTGTCTGGCGTGTGCATGGGGTGCACACTCTGTGTGCTTTGACAATGTGGCGTGATGCACGCCGCGCAGATGCTTGGTCGTTGAATAGAGGAACACACGAATCCACGTCGGCCACAGGCTGAAATTCCTCTATGCAGAACTGTGGAAAAGAAGAGAACAGAATTTTTTTCAACCCCACACTGAATTTTTCACGTGAAGTTTAATTAGAATTGACTGGGAATTAGGTTGTGCAGATTCGAAGGTAGAGATGATGTCAGAATTCAAAACTGAACTCTTTTCCATTAAGAGATAACGATTGTGTTAAATTTGAAAGTGTAAGAATACACACGACAGAAAATACACATACATAAAAATATCAGGTTCAATTTTCTCTTTCTTATGTTAAAATATATAAGTATCTGGTAAATGATAAAATTGATTAGAAAGTTTCTAGTAATGTTGAATAATAATTGATTGCAGTATCTGATTGAAGTATCTTTTCTCTTACATCAGAAAAAATGTTCACCGATATCTTATACTGTATTTTGTAGATTGAATATTAAAAAGGTGTTCTTTACCAGGAACGACTATTGAGGACACGGCAGTAACGCCGACCCCGTCACTGACGCCGTCGGCGGCAGCAGGAGGCCAAAGAACCGGGGTCCGAACAGTGGGTGGTGTGAGTGATCCCGCAATAGACGAACATTTCAAGCGATCTTTAGGCCTAGAGGAGTACGCCGCAGTTTTCAACGCCACTACTACTGACAAAGAAGCAGGCCTCAGTGGTACGCCATTTAAAAAAAAAGAAAAAAAAATCATTTCTTCTTCACTTCAAAAGAGAGAGGAGAGAAAGACAAAGAGATGGTATATCTTGAAAATTCTTTCAGTGGATGATCACTTTGCAAAGGCTCTTGGAGAAACCTGGACGAGGCTGCAGGCAACCAGCAGAAGCAAGGACTCGACCTAACTGCCGGACAGTTAACCAAAAGTCCTCACCATCGTCGTTGCGGTTGCTTCCGTTTTCTTCGCTGTGACAATGTGGTCTCGCACACCTCTGTCTAATCAATCTATAAATTTACGTGAAATTGCTACCAATATTCGTAGAAGGAACAGTGGGAGCAACCAACGAACTTTGTATTATTAATATTATTACTATTACTACTACTACTATTACTACTACTACTACTACTACTACTACTACACTACTATTATTATTATTATTACTACTACTACTACTACTACTACTA